TCTAATAAATGATATCTTTCATGAGTTTCTTGATGATTTTGTTGTTTATTATTTGGAAGATATCTTAATCTATTCTTTAAATACAAATGAGTATGAAATTCATGTTTGTCGTGTGTTACAAAAACTTAGAGATGCAAAATTATATGTAAAGTTAAAAAGTATTTATTCCACATTACTCAAGTTGACTTCTTAGGATATATCATTTTTAACAAAGGGCTTATGATGGATCCAAAGAAGGTCTAAAATATCATCGATTTGAAGATTCTAAGAACAATAAAGGACGTACAATGCTTTTTGAATTTTGTTAATTACTATTGCATCTTCATCAAGAATTTTTCTGAAATTGTAGCTCTACTTACATATTTGACTTGTAAAGACAAACTTGAGTGGGATAAAGAAGCCAAAACATTATTTGATGCTTTAAAAAAGAATTTATTTTTGCACCAATCTTATATTGTACTGACTTCTTTAAGGCATTTTTCATGGAAATAGATGCATTAGACTTTGCCTTAAGTATAATATTATCACAAATGGAAGGAGATCATAAATTCCATTCAGTAGCTTTCTATTCCAAAAAAATTTAGTAACTGAGATTAATTATGAAAACCACAACAAAGAGCTCCTTGCAATCATAGATTCATTTTAAGAATGACATCATTATTTAGAAGGCACTTTAAGTCTAACCACTATATATACAATTATAAGAACCTCAAGTATTTCATGTTGACACATATTTTAAATCATCGCCAAGCTCATTGAAGCATATCTTTATCAAGATTTGATTTCAAGATCACTCATTGTCTTGAAAAATAAGGTTTATTGAATGTCCTTTCTAGACATTCTTATCTTGGACCAAAAGAAGGAAATGCATCTTTTGATCAACAAAGAATGAATCTCTTGAAGCAAGAACATTTTCACCTTTGACCAAAAAAATCAACATTGACTGTTGATTCAATGTTTGTCAAGAAAATTCAATCAAGTATGTCCTTTAATCCTCTTATCCATGATATCAAGAATAATTCTTCTAAGTCTTATGATACTTCCAAGTTTGAGTTCAAGAACAATCTATTCTATTTTGAAAGAGGATTATACATTCGAAAAGATGGTGCTTAATTACATATTCTTCAAATTCATCATGAATTTTCACCAATCTGACGTTTTGGATACAATAAGACTTTGAAACTAATATCAAGAGATTTTTAGTGGTGTCAAATGTGGAAGGCAATCAAAGACTTTGTAAAATAATGTGATATTTGTTCAAAATTCAAAACTCCTTACCATTGACCTTATGGATTTCTTCAACCATTACCTATTCCAGAGCAACCATAGTCTTTTATTTCTATAGATTTTATCATGGATCTTTCAATCTCATGCATGTATGATTCTATATTTGTGGTAGTAGACCATTTTATCAAAATAGCACATTTTGTAGTATGTACAAAATCTATCACAAGTGAAGAAACAACTAAGTTTTTTCTTAACAACATCTATCGTTATCATGGATTGCGTAAAGATATTATATCGGATAGGAAGATTCAATTTATATGAAGATTTTGGAAAATCCTTTTTAAGATTTTAAAGGTGGAAATAAATCTCTCTTTGGCTTTTCATCCTTAAGTTGATGGAAAAACAAAACAGGTGAATCAAATTTTGGAACAATATTTGAGGTGTATCATTAACTATCATTAAGATAATAAAACAACTCTTTACTATTGATAAAGTTTGAATATAATAATTTGGTATATTTTTCTATTCTAAAAACACCTTTCTTTACCAATTATGGTTATCATCTACATTTTGATACTTTTGACATTTTAAAAGTTAATAATTCTACAATGGAAGATTTGGCAAATTATTTATTACAGCTACATGCAACAATAAAGGCATTATTAATGGAACTTAAGAATGACAAAAGATTAATGTAGATGCCTATGACAAGGAATAACCACAATTCAATATAGGTGACAAGGTATAGTAATTTTGTTACAATATCAAGACTACTTGTCTTTGTGGTAAATTGGATTACTATAGGCTTGGATTTTTTTCTATTAGTGAAGAAGACAATTATATTTCTTGTTAATTATATCTACATGAGTTTATAAAGGTCTACCTCATATTTCATATGTCTCTTTTTGAGCCATATAAGATAGTGAATATCTTGAAAAGAAGACAAATGCCACCTTTTCTTATAAAAGTAGATAATAATCAAGAGTTTGAGGTAGAAGAAGTCTTACATTTAAGGTGACACCAAAATAGGTTGAAATATCTTGTTCATTGGTATAGATGTGATATTAGTGAATGCATATGGGAGCTAGCAAAGAATCTTACAAATGTAGCAAAGAGAGTTGAAGCTTTTTATTGACGATATCCATCAAAATCAAGATGAAGAATAGCAAATCTTTGCTATAAAAGAAACAAGATCAAAGAGAGATAATACTCTATTTTCTATCCTTCTTTGTATCTCCTATTTATTTGTAATACTAAAGAGATGGAAAACCAACAACTAGCACATTCAACTCAAGAGCTTTCATTTGTTGAGTAATTCAATAAAACATTGTAATTATCACAACCTTTAAGATGAAGTAATCAACATGAAGATCTTGTAGATTGACATGCCCTTCCTTGAATAGATAGAGAGATATAATAGATTTGATATCATGACCTCAAAAGAGAGTCTTGATGTTTGATGATTTTATTAGAGATAAGAACAACTTCTGACACTGTTTAAAATATTTTATTTGAAAGAAGTTATGAAGGCATCAACAACAATCAAATAATAGGGTGATCTTCTTGCCTTAGTATGGAACACTAGTAATGGCTAAGAAGACCTATCAACTATCTTCAAAGAGAACAAAGATCAGAGTATGTATCAAATGTAATTTGCCTCATCTTAGATTTCTTCAATGCATGATGACCACTCTTCATAGAACTTGTCTCTAAAAAGAAAGATAATGTCATGGATATACATAGATACTCTAGTAAATATCTATATGATTACATAGAAGTAAGTAAAAATACATAAATATAGATTAATTTCATATTACTTTTTAAAAAAAGCTTCCTAGAAGCTTCATAGATGTTACTTTGATTTTACATATGTTTGTAATTGATTGATAGGTTAGAAACTTAATCAACAAATTAACCATGTATTGGTAGCTTATGGAACAAGTTAACTATGTGGCAAACATATAAAAAACTTGCCTTGCAAGTTATGATATATATCATGTAAAGTCAACACGTTTTGGAGGTCCTATAAGAAATCACTACATAGCTCTTAGTTAAGAATATATATAGAAGCAAGAGTGAAGCCTTCTTCACTCTTGTCAATGCCTTTCTAGTCTTTAGTCTTGTTTCAAGACTTTCTATTTTTGTTTTTGGTAATAGCTATTCTAATTCAATAACATATCATCTTTAAGTGACTTTCTACTTCTTTTCAGTGTCATAAGAGTATATTGAGGATTTCTTTCTTCAAGATTCATGTCTATATCAAGTGAGATTTTTTTCAAAGAAATATGACAAAATAAAAGTAAGAAAACATATATATTTAAAAAAAAAAAATGGAGTGGTTATTGCCTAAAGATAAGAAAACTAAAGACTCTTGAATCTAGACTAAAGGAAAAAAAGAATTGACAAGAGTGAAGAAAGCTTCATTCTTACCTCTACATATACTATCTACCTAAAAGGTACATGACAACGTTATATAGGACCTCTAATATGTGTTGATTTTGCAAGCCAAATGTCTTAACTTACAAGGCAAGTTTTCTACATAAGTACTACATAGTTAACTTATTCTATAAGCTATACACATGTGTGACAAATAGCTAACTTGTTGACCAAATTTTTAACCTAAAAATCAACTATGTATAGGTGTAAAGTCAAAAGCATATCTATAAAGCTTCTAAAAAGGTGCCCTAAAAGATATTATAAAATTTATTTACTTTTATTACTTTTATTTACTTCTACCTAATCATATAGATAATTATTAGAATAAATATGTATATTCGTGATAGTATGTCTATAACATGCTGTTGGTAGTCTTCAATTTGCTTGAATAAGAACTTGGCTTAATATTATTTATTCTATAAGTAACATCTTACGTTTCAAAACAAAATTTACTCAAGCACATTATAATGTTGTAAAATAAATATTTCAATATAATCAAGCTACTTTGGATTTTAAAGCTATTTATGGTGGCACAAATTTATCAAGTTTATTTACTACATTTGCTGATGTTGATTATATATCTGATTTGGATGATTGAAAATCACAAATTGACTGTATTTTAATTTTAAATGGCAGACCAAATAGTTAAGAATCAAAGAAACAAGAATATTTAGTTGATAACACAATCTATTCCAAATATATTACTTGTAACATGGTAGCCAAAGAAATTATTTGGTATCAATAAACGTTAATAAATCTTCACTATACTTAAGAAAAACCTATCATTTTATACTCTAATTCTCAAAGTACAATTATATTGGCAAGAATACTCAAGAAAATACTCAAACAAAATATTCAAGAAAATATTCAAGAAAAATCTATCATTCCTGTAGTAAACATATTGATATTAAATATCACATGATTTGAGAGAAAGTTAAAAATAGAGTTCTACAAATAGATTATATATCTACTAACAAAAATGTAGTTGATATTTTTACAAAAGCTCCAGCTCTTGATAAATTAAGACATTGCATACTTTTTTGTCTCTACAGTCAAGTTAATGCTTTACTTCGCCATTGAAGTGGTAGAATTAACTCCATTGAAGTGGTAGAATTAAGACATGTTGTAATATCAATGGAGAAGTTATTATTTAATGGGAGTTTAGTAACTAGTGTGTTACTAGTAAGAAATAAGAACTTCTCATTGATATGTAAGATTTGACTTTTAATAAAGTGGTGTTGTTTCCCCGATACTCTTGGTGAAGTATTCTGTGAATATAATAGGGAATGAGCGAAGCACATTTTTCCGAAATCCCTACGTGACATCAAAACCACGACGCAGCGCTTGTCACCATGTTCGCATGGCTCCGTGATGATTCTTCAGTTCTACTTCTCAGTGAAATGTATATGAATGTATAGTTAGTTACTGTAGAAGCAAGGATGTAGTGGTTTGGTTGTTAGAGCTCATTTCACGGCGACAGTTGACTTCGTGCGCGATTCGCCGAAGAATATGGGCCCAGCTCAGGAATGAAGCAAGGATCATGAGACGATTCGCGGTAGTTTTCGTTAACTAGGCGGAAGAATTGCGGGCCGTGGCTTGACTGGCAGGGGCGAGTTTGGATACAAAGGAGCGCAGCTTTGCAGGCTGTTTAGAAGACGTTAGCTACTGATGACCGTTGTGTTGAATCCATCACGATTTTTGACTTGGGTTTGATTCGCTGGCTCTCGTGAATGATTGAATCTCTGCAATGGTTTAGCACCCAAGCTCCAGCGTTCCGAGGCCTTTTGGAAGTGGGATCTGTGTTTTTCGGCCCTCAGCAATCGGGTGCGTTGCTGACGTTGTTGTGATGGTGTGTCAACTTTTTTGTGTTGTGTGTGAACGACGGAGATGCACTGGCAATTGTGAATTGGGCTTCGAGAAGTCGCTGAGTTTGGTGGGCATTGCTAGGGTTTTGTCGGTGTTTAGCATTTGGTTGGAAGGACCACTAGAAATCTGAAAATGTGCGTGTTGTTGTCTCTTCCAATCCTCATATTTCAAAATGTGGTTCCAAGGTTGGCATGGTCTTGTGTGCCGGAAGAGAAAATTTGAATTACTCCACTGTCGGTCACAATGTACAGTTCTCTGCTGCTATGGTAAGGGAGACGAGAATTTGCGAGAGCATAGAAACCCTAAGAGTTCTACATGCTCGACCCTGAACGCCTGAATCCTGCGAACGAAATGTTCAGGATTACAATAAAGCTGCTAACAACACCTATTGTTTGGAGCAGTTTGAATTTTCAGAGGCACTGTAAGGAGAGAATTATGATTCGAGGGTCTCGATCTCTGAAACAGGCTCGCATTTTACTGGATCATTTTGTATGCTTGCGCAGTGGCATTTCAGCGATACGTTTCATATTCTAGGACTAGTGGGTTTTACGAGTTCCGGGAGGTGGTTCTGGCTTCAGCAACTATGGAGGTCTTACGTTATGCCGCAGTACTGCCTGGAGACTGAATCATTGAAGGGAATTCCTGGAACGAGTGACGACTCTCAGAAGGGAGAAGAATATTTTAGGCTGCAAGATTTTTGATTTACGTTTCATCACGACATAGTTTCCAGGATGCCGCAATCCTCTGACCATGGCCCTGTCAGGGAAGGAGAAGGAGAAGCGGCTACGCTCATTGACACAGTCGTTCCCCCCTCGGACTCTTCCAGCTACATTTCAGTTCCCTCAGCGGAGCTTGATATCAGTAGCGAACGAAACGGGAACAATAAACCCTCTGTGGCGATTCTTCCTCATTCCAACAAGGAGTGGCAATCAAATGCAACTTCATACTCCTCCATTCCAGATCACCCCAACACATTGCTAGCTACAGACGATGGCCCTCTGATTCTCGGCGCGGTTCCGTTCTCACTTGACGGAAAGCATAGTCCTACTCACAATGGCTCAAAAATCACCAAGATTCTGCTCTTGGTAGCGTTGATCCTGCTGATTCTTGCAGTGCTGATTGCAGTCGCTGTGGTTTTGCAAGCTCGCCGAGCCGGCTTTAAGAGAATCATGGATATCCGAGCTTTCAAGCACCGAACCGCCTTCCACTTCCAGCCCGACAAGGATTGGATGAACGGTGAGCGACATTGCTTCTAAATGGCTTCGCTCTAGAGAAGGACGACCCCTACGATTGCTCAACTCGTGTTTCCGTGATCGGCTTTCTTCGCATGCGTTCTCTCATGGTTTGTGGTTGTGCTTGCAAGCATGGATTGGCGACGACGTACTGACAAGCTTGATATCTGTTGTGGTTGTGGATGCTGGCTGTCCACGACGAATAATCAACGCACATGAACCGCACACAGATCCGAATGGTCCGATGTATTACCAGGGCTACTATCACCTCTTCTACCAGTACAATCCCGTAGGCGCGGTGTGGGGCAACATCGTCTGGGGGCACACAGTCTCCACCGATCTCGTTCACTGGCGTCATCTTGAGCCTGCATTGAAAGGAGACCAGTGGTATGACATTCGCGGTATATGGTCAGGGTCCGCCACGACCCTATCAGACGGCACTCCTGTTCTCTTGTATACGGGGTGGTCAGAAGCCTATGATCAGATTCAGAGCATGGCCATCCCGGTTAACAAATCCGACCCGCTGCTTCGACAATGGCTAAAGGTTTGCGACGAATCTCTCTTAGTTTAGCTTCTCTCCACGTCTGTTGCAACACCCGCCTGATTATCTACTATCTTTCTGCGAGTGCCAGGCTCCTCAGAACCCAATGGCCGTGGTGCCTGAGGGATACAACTCCAGCCAGTTTCGAGACCCAACTACCGCATGGCAAGGGCCGGATGGGTTGTGGCGCCTCCTGGTGGGCGCCAACACAGGGGATGGGGGTACGATCGGCACTGCTCTCCTCTTCAAGAGCATTGATTTCCAAGCATGGAACTTCAGCCACAGTTTGCATTCTGTGCCGGGAACTGGAATGTGGGAGTGCCCGGACTTCTACCCCGTAGCGTTGTCTGGTACTTTGCTCGGCGCGGACACCTCAACTCACGGCCCGACCGTGAAGCATGTACTGAAAATCAGCGCAAATGACAAGCTTCACGATTATTACAGTGTGGGTAGTTACATCACCGAGAATGATACTTTTCTCCCGGAAAGCGTAAACCTAGACGCTGGAATTGGCCTGCGGTATGACTACGGAAAGTTCTACGCCTCCAAGTCGTTCTTTGATCAGGCAAAGAGACGCCGCATCCTCTTTGGCTGGGTCAATGAATCCGACAGCCAGGAAGCCAATATTCAAAAAGGATGGGCATCTGTCATGGTGGGTTATGTATTCCATCGATTTTATCCCTTTGTCTTCGGCTGTGTGTAGGATTCGGTTGATTGTTTTTTTTTTAAAATTTTTTTTATTGGTTTTATTTATTTATCTATCAGTTTTGGACAGAATCTAGAATGTGATGGTGTTCTTCTGGTGATGGCAGTCAATTCCGAGGCAAGTCTGGCTGGACAATCGCACTACCACAGACCTCATTCAGTACCCTGTGGAAGAATTGAATTCTCTGCGTGGGCCGGAGGTGTCTTCGGAGAACGTGACAGTATGGGCTGGATCTTTCGTTAAATTGGATGGCATTCACGGCAACCAGGTAATTGTCGGATAACTTACTAAATCACTAAGGATGTCCACTTCCTTGGTAGAGTGCGGACCTTCAACTATTTGCGTGTGCCTGTGCAGCTCGACATCGAGATCTCCTTCGCAATGCCAAACAGGAGCGTGGGGTTGCAACCACCGGAGCTGCTGGCAGAATCTGGACAACTGCTGTGCAATCAAAGAGGGGCTGTAGGGAACACAAAGATCGGCCCCTTCGGCGTGTATGTTCTCGCAACTGACGACTTCCGAGAACTGACCGCCATCTACTTCCACGTCCTGCAATCTCCCGGCGAGGGCTTGAAAATACTCGTCTGCAGCGACCAAACCCAGTCGTCTGTGGCTCCGAATCTAGACACAGCCTCGTTCGGGAGCTTCGTCCGGGTCTACGAGAGCGACCAATACCTCACGCTCCGCATCTTGGTGCGCCTCTTTCCGATCTGACCTGATCTGATTCGAACTGAACTGAACCTTCAATGTCTAGATGGGCGATGTGTTTGTATCCTGGTTCTGAAAAACATACTTCTGGTGTGTACATCAGGTGGACCATTCCATAGTGGAGACATTCGTGCAAGGCGGACGAGCTGTCGTCACGTCTAGAGTGTACCCGGAGCTCGCTCTCGACGACGCAGCCCACGTGTATCTGTTCAACAACGGCACGGAGCTCGTCACCGTCATGTCGGTAAGAGCTTGGAACATGAACAGTGTGCAGATCATTCCATTCTCATAGCTGGGTTCACGACACTTCTGGTCACCGCACATGCCGATTGTTATTGTTGTTGTTGTCTTCTTCGGCGTTGTGGTTTTAGATAGTGGGTGCAGCACATGCAGAATTGCTGATGCATACGAAGTCTAGATAATAGTATCAGACATGCTGCTGCTCCGATTCTTCTCTGCTCTTTGAAGCAAGAAAACAAAAGCTCCGAACCTCCACCACGAACCGTGTTTCGTCACTTGTGAAACAATGCTTCAAAATGTGATGTATGGTCTTTAATGTTGGACCAGCGTATGAAAACCTAAAGCTGCGGTGGTGGATAGAGCCCGGTGGATTAAAAGAACAAGTTTTATTAAAAAATATGGAATCTCACCACATTCTGCATGTATTGAAAATGTGTTCAGATAGCTTTATAAGATCAAACATGTTGCATGTGGATTGAATGATTGAGAGGTGCAGTGCAAGTTTGTTGTTAATGGCTGTGCCCAAAGAGAGGAGTGATCACTGTGAAGATTTTGTTTCTAAATTTAATATAGCATCAATATTTTAGTTCTAGAAAGATTTACTGTAGAAGTATTTATCTTATAAACTATTAATAATTAAAAGTTATAAGTAATTCTTATATGATTGTTATAATCAACAAGCAACATTCAGTTTTATTATTAATAATATTAAACTCCGTCGTTGTACTTTGTACACAATGCTTTACTTTTTAAAAAATCGCTTAGAGTATCACAAATATGAACACTGATGTAAGTTATTCAAATATTCACATTGTGATTTACACGTTTTAGATTTTTTTTTAAATGTGATAGTAAAACTGAGTACAAATTTCAAAATAAAATAAGCACCATCAAATAAAATAAATTCTACCACATCATTGAGTGGTGATATCAAAGTATAACGACATGCCATTCCCTTTAAAATCAAAAGATGGATGATGTGTTTTCAAGTGACTTTAGACTGTCATACTTATCCATATTCAATATATCTTTAAAATAAATTGTTTCAAAACAATAAGTATGCAAATGTCGGTTGGGATTTAATGGTTATTGTATGTTCTATAGAACATAAGATATAATTTAATAACTGAGGGTTTTTAGTCATCAACGGTTATGCGATCAATTTACATTACCTTGTTTCAAACTTCTTCTAAATCTTGTTACTCTACTAAAATATGCAACACTAATTCTATTTAAACAATAAATACGTAAGTGTTAGGTCAACATACATAGGTTTTAATTCTTATTACAAATTATTCCAAAACAAAAAAGAAGCATACTTTATGAAATGAAACTGAATAGACCAGGTATTAGAAAGTCCCATCTTTTTCTTTTCTTTTTTGGGCCTTTGTTGAAGTTACTGTAGCAATGGGAAAATGATTTTAAGCAAAATAATAATATTTTACTACATCACGACGTCGAATAACCAAACACAATAACAAAAGATGGATGAAAAGCGAAGGAAGAAATATGGATAAAAAAGGGGCAGCCAATGGATGAAACATACACGAGTGCCCGAACAGAGAAGTGGACGAAGACGTCGACTGCGACCTCGACCACGACCTCGACCTCGACGAACGTCGAAAAGGGAACGAACGAAAAAGCAGACGCACGCCGACCACGATCACGACGAACGTTGAAACTGACACGAACGAAAGCGGGATGTCGTCGACGAGAGTAGGGGCTACGGCGCCTGTGTGTGTATCCCCCGAAGCATAGAGGGTTGTTGGGTGCTGGTGGGTCACGGGGATCGAGGAGGAGGACTCGCTCCGCAGCGTCCGAGCTTCGGATTTATCACTTCCATCGCTGCTGCTGCTGCTCGGTTGGTTGCCTCGGTGCAGCAGGGTTTGCACTGATCGGACCGAGAGTGGATTAGAAGTGTGTTTTGAGGGTTGAAAGCAAGCGCCTCTCTCCACCATGTACTCATGGATGCTTCGGGTGAACACGGTGCTTACGTTGAGCGTGACCGTGTTGGCCCTTCTGTGCGCCGTGGCTTCGATGGCCGACAACCTGCATTGGCACACGCCGTCAGTGGAATTAGAGGTAATCTCATGGTCCCATCTGGGGTTTTGGATTATGTGGGGTGTTTGTTATTGCTGCTCAGGGGTGTAGACGTTGGTTTTTTTTTATTTTTTTATTTTTTTATTTTTTATTATTATTATTAAATTTAGGTTTTTTGTGGGTACTTTAGGTTTGTGGGAAATCTCGAGAGGATTGTTGTGATCGTCAGCTGTCTGTTGGAAACAGGATGCTCGATCTGGTGGGTGCTAATAACACGATTAGTTTTGTTAACTATGGCAGGTTGTAAATGTTGGACCGCTGGAAAGACTGCGGAACGGTGATGACAGGGTATGGGACCGATTCTTTTTCTTCTTCTTCTTGGATGTTGTCGGTAGACATGCAGCCTAATCTGCTGTTGGCAACCTACTAAATATGTATTGGAGATGTTTACTTGCTGACAATTTGCAGATGTGATGCCTTGTGGTTTTACGAGTGTTTGGAATAAATGTGGCTTAGTTCTTGCCGTCTCTCTTTTGGGCGTATTCTTGTCCAGGTTACTTTGTCGCTGAACATCAAGGCAGACTTGGAATCCGTGTTCACCTGGAATACAAAACAAGTACGGATTATGCCCTACAACCCTTGTACTTGTTGAGTTATTAAATTTAGAAGTTCCTTGACATTGATGATGTTGGCAACTGTTTTTTTCCGAGTATCTCTGTGTGGACCGTTACATGTTTTGTGAGCAAGGATGCAGGCATTTGACATTGGTGTTAATAGAGGGGGTAGTATTGCTGCTCAGGATCATGATTTGGAGCTTGTTTTTGTTTGGAACGTTTCTTCATATCGTGCGCTAGCTTGAAATTGAGATTCCGATCATCATGCGTGCATTTTGGGGACTTATTCGTACACATAAGACTAACTCGCAGTGGATGCTATTATTTTACAGCTCTTTGTGTTTGTAGCAGCTGAATATTGGAATCCCGAAGAGGGATTCAATCAGGTGCAAATCATCTCACTTGAAGTTGTTTTCTACTCAGCAAGTCCTTGTTACTCTTCTTTTACTTCAAATTAAACGCAAGTTTTCCCCTCTTTTAATCACTCAACCTCCTAGTTCTCTCCTTGACTGTCGAACACAGATTTCTTTGTGGGACACAATTATCGAGAAGAAAGAGAACGCAAAAATCAACACGCAAGTAAAATCCAAGCTTCTGAGGAGATCAACTAGAATTGGATACTTTACATATCCTTTTCAAGTAAGCTCAAAGCTATTCTGCCTATCACAGTGTCTGCTTGTGTGCATAACGAATTATTTGAAGGCATTGTCGAAACAGCCAGTTAAGTGATGTTTCATTTGACAGTTAACTTCGTCTCCGTCGGTATGCAGGGTAAAGACTTGAAAGGCCGTGACTTCAATTTGACAATGTACTGGAACGTGATGCCAGTCACTGGTGTCTTCACCACTGACAAAGTTGTTGTTCCAGGGTTCCAACTCCCACAATCTTACAATTAGCACTCTTCCAATAAATGAAACTTCAAACATGCTTGAGCCAGTTGGTGACTGCGGTTATGTATGCTACGAGAGTCGAAATCTTATGGGTACATCAAGCTCGGGACACTTCTCTGTGTGTATTGAGTTGATTGATTGCGTAAATGTTTTGAATTCATAACAAGACATTTGGTGGAATATTCCTTCAGCACGTACTGCAAGTTGTATTGCAACGCAGAAGTTCACAAAGTAGACTCCATGGGGTCGCTTCCCTAGTAAAAATGTCAAGGGCACATGGCTTTTTCAACCTGAAGCATCCATAAATTAGCCTAACCCTAGAACATCCTTATCATTCACATATTTACCTTGGAGTATGAAATCTTTCTACAGTTCAGCTAGCTTTATATTATAGGGTTCCATGTTAGCAGAATGGGTTTATGAAAACCAAGGACATCCCTGCTAACTTCGAAATTTTTCCCGCTTTGTTGCTATTCTGTCGAGTAGGAATTGCTTAGAACAATAGATTTATCTTCTGGGATATGCTTTGAAGCTGATTAACTGCACTTCTGTAAAATCAATTGAAGCCTTTATTTAAACAAATTAACACAACAAACCAATGGTTGTTCTAGGACAGCGATGTTGCGATTTCGCAGAACAGGTATACAGCTAACCCTTTGACTTTTTTAACTTTGTTAACATTTATTTCAAATCTTCATACGTGCAACATAAATAGAATATGTTAGTTATTTTGTTTGTTTCTATTGCTATTAGTCCTTGTATCTTGTTGATTGTTAATCCTTTCTAACTCACCTTATTACTTTATAAACATTAAGATTGAATTCATGTTCACTTAACATAAAATTTTGCAATCATTTTACATCAATAGTACTTTAGGTTGTAGATGTAAATTAATCTTTGTACCATCTATGCTCAATTAAATGTCTTTCACACTATATGCACAAAAATCCATGTACCTTATTCTTAGTATCAGATTATTTCTTGCTCTGAAAATTGTTGGAATGTAAAACCTACAAAATTATCACAATTTTATTCGATTCTTCATCCAATCTTTTATTTCTTTTTATTTCTTTTTTATTTTAATTTGATTTAATTAAATATGGCATTTCATATCAAACAAAGAAATATTGTTGTGTTTTTTGGCAATTTGATTAAGTTTAAACTACAGAAGTGAAAGCTCATTTTGGATTCCTTGATAATGGTAAACATTACACACTGTTGCCAAAGTTGTTTTTAATACTACTTAAATAATACTTTACGATTTTCAAAACTGCTTTGCAATTCTTTTTTTATGTAACTTCTGTAATCTTACTTGCTAAATTTTAATAATGTGCAGTACAATCAATTGGGCGTATTGAATTTACAAATAAAAACCTTATCATTCAACTTTGTCCTCAATCTTGTTGTTTCCAAAGTTGTCATTTTTAATCCAATAAGAAAACCCAATTAAATTTTACATGTTAACCAAAAAGATTAACATTTCATGTCGGTTTTATATATGGTTTTATAAACCAACGTAGCTTTATAAAATTTCAAATTTTGATCTACAAAGTCAATTCTGATTTTTGTTTCTTTTATGATATTAAACTTAACGATTTATTGGGTGCTAAACTGGTAAATAACTATGATGTAATGATTGATTTCCAAATAAGGTATAAAATCTTCAATCACAATATTAAAGATTTGGCACATATATTCCATAATTAATTCCAAAAATATTTATAAAAACTTGCTCACAAGTACCACTTGGAATTTTAAAATTCTATATCAGACTAGTATCTCTACATTTGCAAACTTAGTAAATGAACAAGTCACAAACACACCAATCTTAAAATAACCCTTATCGATATTTATTAATCAATACCCCAAAATTTAACTGACAAGCAATAGCTTCTGGATAATTGAAAGTCAGAGAGAAAAATATTGTTGGTTTGATATAGAATAAGAATTGGATGTGATCTCATAATAGCATACATACAATTGCAAATATGCGACTGGAAATATTGTTTTACAATTTAGATCCAGTTGGCAAGAAACGCAGTTTCTAAACGTAGACATTTTTATATATTTTAAAAAGGACTTTCATTATCAAGATTGCTAGTACCCTAATAAATTCACACCTCAATTGTATTTTTGACTTACACAAATTTAAATGATTACTACACCCAAATGTCCAAATATGTAGAACTTCAATTTTCTTTATCATCAACTAATTAGACCGTCACCAAGCTGAAGTGAGATGATTAATCCATTAGACAACAAATAACTTAGGCAGGAAAGTTTTGATACAATGAGCTCATCTTCACAAATATATTTTATCTTTGTTCACGTGAACCTGACAATATCATACTTGTTAATGTACATGAAGCTGAGGAAGTTTGCATGTATATAATAGCTAATCCAGTCTTCTTCATTAAATCTTCAGGACAACCTTGAATTGAGCAGGTGACCAGCATATGCTCTTCGACAAGATCAAGAGATGTTCCTCCACAAACTATCTTTTCATGACACTAGCATGATTCTTCTGAGGGTACAAGTGTTGGGGCGATCTATAAAACTTCGTGTCAAGTCAATGCAGGTAATCCACATGGAGTATGCCAAGCAGCCTCAAACATCTGAAATTAGCTCACTTAATCTACGGTAATCTTGTGTGCCTTACTGGTCAGGAAGATAGCTAGACCTTTTTGTGTACGTAAGTACTGAATTCATTACTCACCAGAAAATTTTGGATTTACTTCAAGAACAATAGAGTTGCAACTGAAATCCAGAATCGGCTTCATGGTACATATGATATTCTTCACTTTGATATCTAGAGCTATCGCTCACTAAACGGCGCTTGCATTAGGTCAAAGGCCTTGTCCAACAACTATTTCACACACCAAATGCAGCTGTTAGACCAAGCATCAAATATATCTCTTTACCGACTCAAGAGCTCGTAAATATCAACATTGGGAAAAAGAAGTGAACAAGACAACATGTCTCGATCACTTTGTGTACGCCTCGTGAATAATGACGAGAGTCAGTGATTGATCGTGCCTTATGTTAAATAAATATTTATTTAACGTACGGCCGACAGTGCTTTTCAAGAACACCCAAAGTTACAATTATCTAATGCGAAGTAAAATGGGAAGAAGAAGAAGAGGAAGAGGAAGTTGAGCGTCGTGACAAAATCCTTAGCGACCATGAATGCATTGTAACCATATATACAGTAACAAGAAAAGAGGTACAATACCTTCCCTACAGTCTTCAATTCACGACCGATTGGTTCTAGCGCTTTCAAGCTGATTACCGGTTTGAAAGGAATTGGCCATACCTGCATATCCTTGTACGGTTTTATTACAGTTGTACTGCAACTATATCTCCATTGCTTGGTCCATTTACTACAACCTTCTATCAGTAGTAATTATATAACAACCGGATAAAATAACCCCAATTCCAAACTAATAATACAATAGGTAGGAAAAACTCACTTGAAGGCCTAGGACCTTTACGGGCCTTTGCAATCCAGGGATAATGCAATCAGGTCCAGCGGGTTCTACATAAGCTTCACGAGCAAGACCATAGCCTATTGGATCCGGATGCTGCATCCATTGACAGAAAATCATTAGCCATCGAAGCGCGTTTCTCAGAGTTTCAATCGAAGTGAGATTCCCTATAGGGTTTCGATACCTTAGAAGTACGCACGTAAGATCGTACATGGACGGATTGATCGAATGTAGCCATCAGGAACTCAGTGAACCGCACTAAGTCGACCCTCATAAAAAATGATGGAGATACGACGACCTAGGTTATCAAATAAGTTCCATTCAATGTAACAGAATGCCGGACCAAACCTTCATAATGCTAATGGCATACTGGTAGTTAGCTCCTTGCCGAACAGCCACAACGCCACCCTTGTTAATTCGAGGAACAGGCTTCTCTCCCTTGAGAGCTCGCCAGGGCGCATCCTCGTTCGCAAACCTCGACGTCCTCTTCTTCGGCGCCATAAGTCCTAGTCCGAACAAGCTTTCAATATCCCTTCACGAGTCTCCCAAAACTTCCTCAAATTCCTGCGAGTTTCCCTGATACTACACCGACGTTCCCTGATCCCTAAGAAAACACCAAATGACCAATTTGAAATTCCTGCTCGAAGTGTGATAAACCCTAACGTAGGGTTCTAACTCTTCCCAACCAAGTCAACGAATTCTGCACAAATTACAGGATTGCTCGCATTCTCCAAATCTCCCTTCAATTCCTCGGAGAAATCCAAACAGTCCCTCAGCCACCCAATCCGCTAACGCTTAACCTTGCCCCGCCAACAAACCTACTTGAATTGCAGCTCCAAATACATTTACAACCACAAAGGAAAGGATTCGCGTACACACTAACAGAAAATTGGATACCAAGGACACAAAAATCATAGACATTTCAAGCGAAGACGTCCGCCATTTCAATCCCACAGACTCCAACTTCCCATTAGAAAAAAACATCTCCGGCCTCTAAACTCTCCAAAAAACATCACAAATAAATGACCACAAAAGCTCATCAAACTTCAAAAGTGCGTATGCCGCATGGTGACACAGCTCTCGCCGCAACTTCAGCTTGAAGGAACCAAATCAAACCAAAAAAAACAAAACAAAAAAAAAACTTGCTAACAGCGACACCAACAAACATAAGAAGCGAGGAGAATGCCATCTAAGAGTTGCAAACAACGGAGCCGTGGTTGTCATACTCAAAGAGACAAAGCGGGCGGAGAATTGTGCACCCAGAACAGATTTCGACCCTCAATGGATCGATCAGAAGCTCCCGAGACGCAGAATTCGAAGGCGCGTGATTGCGAAGATGCCCCCCAGCGTGATTTTGATTGGGGCTCTCGTCACGAAGGCGTTACAAAGTGGGATGGAGGAGCGATGGGGATGTTGAGCGTTGCCGCAAGCTTGAAACGGAGGAAGGGCTGGAGCCACGGGCACCGAAGACCGCGAGAGGGGGGGCACGGAACGGGAGGATAATGTGATCCACCTGTTTGTTTGATGGGGCTTTCTCGTCAAGATATGCGGATAGATTTGGATGGATGTTATCTATGAGCTACGTGTCGGTCTGGGAGGGGCCGATTGTAATAGTAAAAAGGCTGTGGGGGGTGCTTTTAATATAAAGTAAGCGATCATAGTGTTTCTTCGCTTTCACTAAATATTATCAAGTTTTGCAGACCGCATTTATTTTCTTTTATTTTAATCCAGAGAGAATGAAGACTCATTTACGTAAAATTCACTATGTTTTGTCACATCTACTTCATTGTGGACAAACCATATTATTGAAGTTTTACTGTTTTAATCATACTTATAAATAAGTATTTGAATATAAAAAGAATTATGTTGACTCTTTTACAAATATTGGTTGATGATATCATGAAATCCAGAGTATTGCATTTAATGCAGTTAGACACCATAAGTTGTTACTTATTGAAATGGACTGTTATTAGTAGCATAGCAGGTAACTGTAATGGCCAACATGTAGCCCTGAGGCAATTCTTCATTTTATTCTTGTGGGTTTGGTTGTCACAGGGCCTCGCTTCATAGTACCGGCTGCCGATAATGGCAAATACTGAAGAATTGATTCTATCATGGGGATGGCTCATCACTTGGCCGAAGTAGATTTAACGCTACTGATGTGACACGGCGATTGACAGGAAGTAGTCAACATACATAGCAATTTAATGCTCACCTGACGAGGTAGTATTTTAACTTTGTACTTCCCAAAAGGGCGTATACTTGCATCGCACAAGCGTGGCATGTCATGGACAATAGAAGTTCATACTTACTGTACTTTCAGAGAACAAGATTACTTACGAGATTGGGCGGCGAACGCTAGGCAAGTTAACAGACAGCGTGAGTAATCCATCCGAGTGTACAAGTCAGAAAAGGGTTTTCTAGGCCCGTAGCATGTCTCTCATAAACACGAAAATATTTCGTGATACTCAGTGCCCAGTGCGTTTCATCCTTCTTGCACACACCAAAGAATCACTTACTCAGACAGCAAAGTAAACATCGACATACTGCAACAAGTTCTAACAGCGGCGATTACGAGTCAGAAGAGCGATTTCTTGGCCCGTAGCATATCCCTCACTAACACGAGAAACATCGTGTCAGTCGGTGTTCAGAGCGTTTCATTCTTCTTAGATCCCACAACGACAGGAAGATCATCGCACAACACGAGACTCAGGTGAAATCAACTGAGCAAACTAACCGAACCTATCACACGGGTCAGCCTCGACCGAACTCACAGTGGTCGGGAAAAACTTCGAACGGAGACACAGCGTTGACACACCAATCTCTGGCTGGAAACTAATGCGACGTAAACCGTTCAAAAAGCCTACGAACCTCTGATAACGATCATGCCCGGAGGCAGTTGCAAAGACGGTGGCAGTGAGTGCAAGGAAAAGATCCCCGTTGCTGCGAATTTGTACTTCATGCTGGATTTGTGTGATTCAGAAATATTAGGTTTTCGTTAGGGCTTCGTCATTATTTTGGGCAGGTTGACCTCGTCACTACGTGTCTCCATGACCTCCCAACTCAATCGACTGGCTCCGCCATCGTGAGCCTTCGGATCGCAGCCACCGCTCAGATTCAATCTCAACCGCCGATCCATTTTCTGGGAACGGAGAGGGGGAAAGTAGGGGAACCAGAAGGGCGGGCAGGTTGAGAAAGATTTACAACTCAGAACCCGTTCCTCAAGGAGCCTGCACTGATCCCCATTCACATGGGTGCTGAAGTTTGTTCTGGGGATGCCTCTCTATCCCAATTTACAATCATCACTTTTGCTTCAAAGAATACCTTTTTTTTTTTTTTTTTTTTTTTTTTTTAATACAAAACTACACTCTATATATTTACAGAAAGAGTTTTTACAACTCAAAAAATTTACTCATTATTTTTTATTCAAACAAAAATATTTTATAAACAATAATTCATTATTGATTATTTTCTTTGTTTATTTGTCTTCATCAAGTTCTTGTTTTTGACAAATTAACAAGAATATATTTACAATATGAAAGTTATGTCTCTTTTTGATTAAGAATAGATTTTTTTTTTCTTTTGATAAGACATAAGCATATTAGAAGTTGCAAATTATCCATTTCTTTTTAGAAATATTAGACATTTTTTTTCTATTGTATAATAATGGCAAAGCTTATTGAGATGAAAAGTGCAATAGTAAAAATGGATGATCAATTGAAGAAATTAATACTTGTTATGTATCAACTCAATTTACTATAAAAAAAAAAAAGCAACAAGATTTATAAGAATTAAAGATGTAGAGATGATTGGAGTTGCTTCAACATCTATACTAAATTATGCTATTCTTTTTATTGTGAAACATCATTTAAGTATTAGAAAACTTATAATTATCTTACTTAAGAAGTTTGATGGCAGAAGATCAAAATTTTGAAGTTTCATCAATCAAGAATAACTGATTATTGAACTTCAATCCTAAAGCTATTCAACTCCACGGTCACAAATTAGATTTATTAATACACTTATTTTAAGTTCTACATTATCATAGTTTTTATCTTTTTTTAAATGATGTGATTTAATATTGAATAATTTGGAAGCTTTTTTGGCAAAGTTTTGATTTATGTATAGAGAATATGATGTAATTTATATTATAACAATTAAGTTTTATATTTTTCAATAAAGTAATTAATTTATAATATTATATGCTTTAAAATTTTGACAACTTATAATTGATATTAAGTCAAATAATGTTACTTTTATTAACCAAAAGTTTTCAAATTATAATGTAAAGTAAAGAAATTGATGCTCAATTCACTTAATCCTCAAATATTAAGTTAAGCAATTGACTTTACTTTGAAGTGTAACAATTAACTTTTTAAATTTTGATTCAAAAGTTGTACGATTAAGCTTTAATATTATTTTAATCCAATGGCAACACCAACATCTTCTCAATACATATATTTGGAAGTACAAGATATGCAAATTGATGCAGTATATTTTAAATCTCTCACTAAAAAAAAAAAGATTATTCATTGTTATCAAAGATTATGCTTATATTTTGGAGAACCTAAACATATTGCTTAATATTATCTAAAGAAGCAATATAACTACAAAATAAGGAGTATGGTTATCAAAAAAGATAGTATGTCAAAAAATGAGTTTGTTCAGCTATAATAAGGATTGTGTAATTAAAATCTTATACAATACCTAATAAAGGTCTTATTCTCTCTTTACAACCTTCTTCTTGTTTTATAATAGATTTTACTTTAGGACCTAAACATCACAAAAGCTTCTGTCTTACTAGATTCATAAGCCTCAATTACTTTCTTAGATGAAGAATTTATTAAAAAACATAACATATTTTAATGAAGAAAATTAAACTTATTTATGTAGAAATCATAGATGGTCGTTTGTTGTCTTTTGGAGATATTATTTATAAAAAAGAATTCTACAAAAGTAGAAATTAATAGTTATAAAAGTTTTGTAATATTTAATATCATTAGATCTCTCTTTAAATTAGTGATTTTAGATTTATTATGGCTAAAAAAGTATAGCCCTCAAATAGATTGAATTTTTTATAGACTTGATTTTTTTAAAAAATATAACTAAGAATATTGTTAACCAAGTAAAAAGTCATAAGTCAAATACAACCAAATTCGTATTTATAGGTACAAGAGCTTACTTGCATGCTACAAAAAAATGATCAACTTATGTTATATATGCTAGACATATTTTTAATAGACTTCAAGTGGCATTTCAAGCCAATATTAAGATTTCAAAGATATTTTTGAGAAGAAAAATGAAGATACTCTTTTAAAATATTATCCTATAATTTTTCAATTGATCTTTAAGATGAAACTCATTTGCCATTTAGACCAATTTACAGTTTATCACAAAATGAGTTGGTTAAAGTTAAGAAGTATTTTGAAGAAAATATAGCTAAAAATTTTATACGCTATTTTAAATCTCTAGTAAGAACTCCAAGCTTATTTATGAAGAAAAAAATAGATCTTTACAGATGTGTATCAATTATCAATGACTTAAAGAAGGAAATGAATAGAAGACTATGTTTTAAATTAGATATGGACGTTTTGAATACAATGTCATTCCTTTTGGACTTATAAATGCAATAGAAGCTTTTTAATATCTAATGAATGATGTTTTTCAAGTATTTTTGGATGATTTTATTGTCTATTACCTAATAATATTTTAATCTATTCTAAGAACAAAAAAAAAACATAAACTTCATATTTTTTGGTGTATTACAAAAACTAAAAAATATAAAGCTTTGTATCAAGATTAAAAAGTATGTATTTTAGACTTTTCAAGTTGATTTCTTAAGATACATCATTTTAAATGATAGAATCATAATGGATCTTAAAAATTTTAAAGTATTATAAATTAGAAGATTCTAAAAATAATAAGCAATGTCTAATATTTTTTGAGATTTGTCAATTACTATTGAATCTTTATCAAGAACTTTTTTCAACTTGTAGCTACACTTATACGTTTGACTTATAAAAATAAACTCTAATAGAATTAAGAAGCAAAAGTAATATTTGAAGCTCTAAAGATCTCTGAAGATCTTTATTTTATAACAATTATGTATTGTGGTAATTTTTTTAAGCCATTTTTTATGAAAATAGATGCATTAGACTTTGTTTTGAATGCTGTATTGTCACAAATGAGAGCACATGATAAACTTCAACTAATAGCTTTTTATTCATAAAAAGTTTTAGCAGCCAAGTTTAATTATGAGATCTACAATAAAGAAATTCTTATAATTATAGATTTGTTTTAAGAATGGTACCATTATTCAAAAAGGGATTTGAATCTAGTCATTGTATATATACAAATCACAAGAATCTTAAGTATTTTATATTAATATATTTTTTGAATTATTACCAAGCTTATTAAAGCATATCTT